GACTGTAACGTTGGGATATAATGGCGTTGCATTCATGTTTGATGAGATCCGTTATGAACTGGATGGTGTGGAGATTGATCGTAACAGAAACGTGGGAATAACTTCAACGATCAAAAACTATATATCGATATCTTTAGACAAAAATGCCATCATGAAAAATGCCGCGTGGGATACGACTGACACTATTTCGCCGGACGAGTACTTCAACTTTTGTGTACCGCTCAACGTTTTGCTAGGATTCTGTGAAGACTACAAACGTATAGTGATTAACGCGCGTCACGAATTGATTCTATTACGATCGCGCAGCGACAACAACAGTCTACTAGGATCTTCAGCGCTGGATCCTAAGATTGAGCTATTCAAGATACAATGGCGAATGCCTCACGTAATCTTGAACGATATCAATAAACTTTCCATGTTGAAAACTTTGGAGGATGGACGATACCTGAGTATGAGTTTCCGCTCGTGGGATCTGTATGAATTTCCTCTACTGCAAAGCACGACCAAACACTTGTGGACCGTCAAAACTGCTACTAATTTGGAAAAACCTCGATACGTTATCTTTGCGCTGCAGACTGGCCGGAAGAATGTCATGTCAGAAAATATAACTCGTTTCAATGACTGCAAATTGATCAACGTGAAGCTCTATCTGAATTCAGAGTGTTATCCGTACGACGATATGAATTTGGACTTTACAAAAAATAAATACGCCGTACTTTACGATATGTATAGACGTTTTCGTAAATCGTATTATGGATGCGACAATGCTGAGGCATGGTTAACAACTACCGACTTTCTGCGGCTAGGTCCTTTTGTGGTTATCGATTGCTCGCGTCAAAATGAGTCCGTCAAGAGTGCCACTGTGGATGTGCGCATAGAATTTGAGTGTAAGAAGAATATACCGGCGAATACTACCGCATATTGTCTCATCCTGCATGATCGTGTAGTGAATACAGCCCGCTAACCAACATGGTGCGCAAACTTAACTAACATCAGAAAGTATGTACGAGAAAAGAATAATATATGCAACAAAGTGCTATAAATAACATTTCTCTCCCGGACGTGTCGAAGAATATTTCACCATGGATGTGCCGACTTTTGTGGATCTACAAGGGTACATGGTTGGAAAGAGATTTATTGTAAAAGAAGCGGCGATACTGAAGAATGGAACTATTCTTTCACACTACATCTTCACGAGTCCGATGCCATGGCATCTGCTCACAAGATCAGACAAATCGAGAGCCTACTGGTTAACGGCTAATCATCATGGATTACGATGGGAAGATGGAACCGTCAAATACTGCAGAGCTGAACATTTGATTACTACCGCTGTGGTGAGTGATATGTATGGCGAGCTTGAAGATGTCGCATCTCAACTTGTGTATGTAAAGGGGCATGAGAAACGGGAATAGTTCTTCACCTTCTGGATGACAATGTGAGAAGCAACGTGATCATTAGAACTGTGGACACCGATTATGATGACATGCCTTCTTTGCAAAAATTGAATAATACTTTTCGATGTAATAATCATATGAAAAATTGTGCCTTACAGAACGTACTAAACATTTTCAATTGGTGGTTTTGGAGAGAATTGTACGACGCTTAATAAAACATTATTTCAAATGTACAGATGTTTCTTCCAACACGCTTATCCCCTTTCACTTCTTAGGATTTTATATGATAATTGTGTTTGATAAAAATACAGTTCTTTATTTGCGGTATGATAATTATTAGACGTCCGAGAGACGTCCGATAGACGTTCGAGAGACGTTCGAGAGACGTCCGAGAGACGTTCGAGAGACGTCCGATAGACGTTCGAGAGACGTCCGATAGACGTTCGATAGTAATCGCAGGGCCCAAGTTCGATAGTAATCGCGGGGCCCACGTTCGACCCTACCTACACCGCCGCCATGTTTGTTCTTTTGACGTATGCGTGACGTCACGGTCGCCATCTTACCCGTAACGTGACGTCTACTAGCAACAGGCAGCAATGGTCTAGGAGGTTCGAGCGTCCGATAGCAACCGCGGGGCCCAGGTTCGAGTTTACCTACAGCCCGATGCGTTTTTCTCTCGTGATGTCACGGCCCCCATCTTGCTCATAGAATCAAAGATTCTGGAGTGGAGGAGGAGGGTACCAATAAAGAGGGGGTATCAATTAAGAGGGGAATCAATAAAGAGGGGATATCAATTAAGAGGGGGATCAATTAAGAGGGGGTATCAATTAAGAGGGGGAATCAATTAAGAGGGGGTATCGATTAAGAGAGGGGAATCAAATAAGAGGGGGGATCAATTAAGAGGGCGGGTATTAATTAAGAAATATTAATTAATAAATAATTTCTTTTGCATAATTAATTAGCAACTTGAGTTAGAATCCCCCTATTCTATCTACTAAACATCCTTGGACATTGATCGTTTGCGGTCTTGCGGGTTATGGGAAAACGGTTTTCGTAAAGACTTTTCTTCGCTATTTACCCGCGATGGCGGATACACGTTTCGACAGGATCCTATTTTATTATGCCGAGAAGCAAGAGGCTTACCGCCAACTACAGCATGAAGCGGCGAAATCGGGACGATGCGTGATAGAATTTCGAGAAGGCTTACCGCGCCCGGATGAATATTCAAACGATCCGCTTGTCGCGAAAGTGGTGATAATAGTCGATCTCATAAGAGAATCGTCATCGTGCGAAGTAATCGTCGATCTGTTCACGAAAGGTAGTCATCACAAAAACTTCAGTGTTATACTCATTTTACAAAATCTATTTAATCAAGGACGCGGACAACGAGATATTTCTCTCAACGCGAATTACATCGTGGTGTTCAAAAACCCTCGCGATCGTGCTCAGATTCATCACTTGGCCAGGCAGGTATGTTCGGAAGATTCAAAGTTTTTGGAAGAAGCTTACTATGACGCTACATCGTTTCCACATGGGTATTTGTTGCTCGATCTGAAACAATCTACCCCGGATGAGTATCGGTTTCGTACATGCATCTTCCCCACTGATACTACGTATTATGTTTACGTTCGGCGTGGATCCACCAGAAGTTACATGTAAAACCTATGCATACGATCATTCTGCGACGGTCTTATCGTCGTAATGGCAGTGAGTGGGGGGAGCAGAGCAAATGCGAAAAAGGGCGATAAAACCGCAAACGCAGCAAAACGGTCCATTGGTGAGAAAAACATCTCTCTTCTGAAGGCGTTGTGCTATTTGACGGAGAAACCACGTGCTACCTTTCTGCGTGAAGCTGACCGTGATTTCATCAGATGTATTTGCGAGTGCACCTTCAACACGCTCAAAGATAACGTACCGACAGAAGAGAAAAGAATCGCGTATCGCGTTACAAATCAACGTTGCGTCATATCGCTAATGATTGCGGTGATTGAAGAAGCAAACGGAAAGCGATAATGCAGCGAGGCGGATTTCTACCTTATCTGATCGTCCTTATACTCGGGGCTATATTATCCAAAATTATCGGTAATTGAGACTGTTCACGCTTGAACCATGGAAAGAGCCAAGAAGATGGTACTGATTTCTACGGATAATCTCGAGAGATTGCAGCAACAGGCTCATATATCAACGACTTCAGCGTCGTCGTGTCGTCTTCCTCGACTGCGATCTCCTCTGTTTTGACAGATAATGCCGTAACTGGGCTGAACATAGCACCAGTAGAGAATGAAAATTCGGTGCGTACTCCGGGTTCCGTCCTGTCGCGTCTCGACACCGAGATGCATAGAATTCTCAACTCTCCGGTCCTCGGAGGAGCACGGAAACGAAAAATGGAAATTGTATAGAGAAGTACTTCAGCGATATCTGTACATTTTTCAAGAGTGGGAAAAACACCGATTACGCGGAAAAAAAGAAGAGAAGCCTGTTGTTGGTGAGGTCGACGGTGATGATAACGGTAGAGAAGGGGAAAATACTCCTCGCGAAGATGACGATTATGCTGATGAAAACGCGGTAGAAAAAAACGCTGGTATGGCTGTAAATGAAGATATTCCTAACCTAGAGACTGACATACATCGAACGTTGAATGTTTCTCAACACATACGAGACGAAGGATGCAGTCGTCATCATCGCACCAGCGAACAGAAAAGAATCGGAAGAATACTGAATAAAGTGCCAAACAGTTACCGGGCTAAAGCGCGCAAGCTGCTGACCCAGTTGTGTGATGTGGCGGTACCTGGTCGATTAAGTTGGGACAGACAGGGAGTCGTAATTATAGACGATAGAATTCTGAGAGGATCGAATATCGTCGATCTCTTGAACGACGCCGCTCGCGAACGAAAAACTAGCAGAGCGGTAGCGAGAGTACAGTTTGCACGACTTTTGCGTGAAGTGAATACTCCTCCGGAATTTGTAGGAAGTCGGGAATTACTGGAGGAAGACACGGAAGAAAATGATCTTTCTGCGAGATTGAGAGAAACTCTTTCGAGAGGTAGCAGTACCCCGCTCCCGTCACCTAACGATCAACTTTGGTCTAAACGTAAGATTGCCCAGATGTCGCTTGAGGAAAAGGATGACAAGGATGGACGGGCGCTTTTGTAACAACAAATGAGAATAGTAATAAAATGCATATGAGCGGTGACGTTTCTAAACCAACGAATAAAAGATGTGTGATAGATTGGAACCCGTTAGAATTGAGTATAGCTTCTTCAACGGCTAACAGCTATGCACATCGACTTCCACCAGCGAAGGGGCGAACGTGCAAGCGTGCTATCGGGAAGCGTCTCTCGCGGGAGAAGAACACGACGGTGGGCGTGTACACGTAACATTTATAACTTCTGATCAATATAGGCTTAAACGCGAGTGAGCGACAACGCATCAAAATTAGCGAGTAAAGGATGTTTGATCAATTGGAACACGCTGGAATGACCGACCTCGCAAAATTCTATTACGATCCTGCACACTATGCGGGATACTCTGCGATAAAAAATCTTTCGCGAACAGCAGGACCCGGCTCCGCCCGTGAAGAGATTATTCGTTGGCTTCAGTCGCAGGATGCGTAGACACTTCATCGACCGATACGACATAAATTTTCCACGTTTGCATTACAACGTCACGAATATCGACGATCTGTGGGAAGTCGATTTGATCGAGCTCGCTAATCTCCGAAATTACAACGAAGGCTATTGTTACTTGTTAACAATCATCGATGTGTTTAGCAAATTTGTCTGGGTGGAACCAATACGAAGTAAGTCTTCGACCAGCATGACGGAGGCTTTTCGTCACGTACTCTCAAGAAACGGAGGGCGGATTCCGACGTGGTTGCAAAGTGACAAGGGTAAAGAATTCATCGGTCAAACATTTCAAAATTTTCTGAAGAAAAAGAACATATGTTTTCGCACATTGCGAAATCCTGATGCCAAAGCAGCGGTGGTCGAACGCTTCAACAGAATGTTCGAAGAACGCTTATGGCGCTATTTTACACACAAAAATATACATCGTTATATAGATGTTTTACAAGGAATCGTGCACGCTTACAACCATACTCGACATTCCACCATTAAAATGGAACCGGCAAGCGTCACGTTGGACAACGCACGCCTTGCTCGTGCATATGCAGCAGCGATACTACCATCTCGATGAACTCGATCGAAGAAATCATAGTCGAGGAGCTAAATACTGTGACGTGGCGGCCGTGGAGGCGCCCGTCACAGTGCGAACCCTCGGTCCCTACGCGAGAATTGCGAGGGCGAAGATTACCGCGCGAGATTTCTGGGGAGGGGGAGAGAAGTCAAATTGCCCCACCCCCCGAAGTAATTAGACATTAGAGTTAAGAGTGCAAGTGCGACGGTCTCGCGTCCCCAAGATTTGTGCCCTTGGACCTCCCGAGCCGGTCACCAGGACAGGACGACCAGGAAGGATGCCGAGGACGCCGCTCATCGCCCGGCGCGGCCAGATCAGGTGATTACGCTCTTTTTTCGTCTCGTCTCAGAAAATTAATCGTTATCCCGCAAAGATTATCGCTGCCGTGTATTATTCAACAGGCTACAACGACAACACGGACGAGGCCACGAGATACCGTCGAGCACGTTCTCGACGCATAGGTCGCTAGCCGAAAAACAACGGCTAGACAGACCGAGAACAATGCTCGTGGGACGCTGAGAGAGAGAGAGAGAGAGAGAGAGAGAGAGAGAGAGAGAGAGAGAGAGAGCGAGCGAGAGACGGAGAGAGAGCGAGCGAGAGAGAGCATCCGTTCCGCGGATTGTCAACAAAATTCGCGGAAGAATTCCCGGAAGGAAAAAAGCAACAAAGACGAGATACGAGAAAATTCATTTTTCTCTCGGAATAATAAAATTGGTTTTCGTCTCGCACGGAAGACAGATTAGCTTGGCCTCTCGAAGAAAGAGATTCGTTTTTTGAACTCGCCACGGAGAGAAAGAGTGCGTTGGTGTCCTCGAAAGAAAGGATTGTTTGGTGTTCCACTCTAATTAGAGGAAGTGATTTCGTACCGTTCTCGAAACGTTCCGATCTCGATTGAGAAGAAGCGGGGTGCAGTGCCTGGCCGTACCGAGCGAAGCGAAACCGGGGACAAAGACGGCCGCTGACCCCACGACCAGATCAACCGGCCCACAGACTATCAAGGACCACGCCACCGGGAGGTTCCCGAAATTCTATAAGATCGTCCACCTGCAATTCTTTCGGTGTTCCGTTTACGTGTCGCGTCCCGAGAAAGTCATTGTGTGCGTCGAGCGGTATCGACTTCGCGTAGGAGCGACGGGGGAAAATTAATTGTACCGTCCTGTAAACATTTCGGAGCATACCGGCTCCCGGAATAAAGTCAGATTATCGCAAACAATCGCGTCCTTCTTTCTTTGTCTGCTTCCGTCTGATTTCCGCCGTAACTCATCCGGTCTACCGACTATAATTCCCATAGAGCTACCGGGTCCGTCGGACTCTCGCGTCGCGGCCGACCGTTAGTATTTTTTTCGTGTTGGTGATCGGTGCGGCTCTTCGCACCTGACGCCCAACAACTTTGTGCGGTTACGAGCGGCCGGGGCGCGTGGGTTGACGGCAATTTGCCGACGGCAACACAAATCATGTCGCAATACAAAGTGGGTACATTAGTGCGAGTCAGTAGAGCGAAAGGAGTCTTTGAGAAAGGATATGAGGCGAACTGGACGGAAGAAATATTTCGGATTCTCGAATGGCGAAATCCTCGTGTGTATGAATTGAGTGATCTGTCAGGTGAAGTGATCGAACGGAATATTCTACGAACAAGAACTGGCCAAGGTAAATAAAAACTTATAAGAAGAACAGTTTATCGTGGATAAAGTGATACGACGCAGAGGACAAGGAGCTAATAAAGAATTATTCGTCAGCTGGCGAGGTTACCTCTCTAAATTCAATTTCTGGATACCTGCTTCGAACCTAAAGCTGCTTCCAAACCATGATGGGGGAAAACCGGTTTTCCATGACTTTACTGAGCAATAGTAGCATGTGACACTATCCAGAAAATACAACTACTTCATTTATTACGGAATTGCCTCAAGAAGTGCAGCTGACTGGTTTATGGGAAGTTGCGCTTACCGAAATTCAATTCCCCTTTAGTTTTTTACACCTGCGTCCCGAGGAAGATGTAGAACTCAAATTCGTTTCGTTACCACGTGAAAATATTAATACCAATTGCGTCAAAAAAGATGAAGACCAGCTACCCAAATTCGGAGTTAACCGTATAACGCCGGGTGTTTACGCCATGATGAGCGAACTGTTACAGGCTTCAAACAACGCTAGCTCATTGCTCAAAACGCACATTGCTTGGCGCCAGGATCCTCATCATGGTCGTAAAGTAACGCTGTACTGCACATGCGATATTAAAGAATGCAATAGACTTCATTTCGTGAAGTTTTCCGACAAAGTGGCTCGTATGCTTGGCTTCGATATGTATAGAACGAACGAAGAATTAATTCATCTTAACTTGTCCAAAATTATGCAGGGACGTGTAGCGTACTATCCCAATACTGATCGTAATGTGAATCCCCAGAAAGCTGGAGAAGAAAAGTTTTACGCTTTCACTACGACAAAACGTAAACTTATGTCCGACGAACCAAGTAGTGTGGTGCGGGGTGTACCTGATAAACTATTTGTTTATTGTGATATTTGCGAATCCTATATAACGGGAGATGTGCATTCTCCTCTTCTCCGAGTGGTTCCCGTCGACTATAACGATAGTAAATATGCTTACGGACGTAACATGGTGAAACATTTTTCGCCACCGAATTATATTCCATTGCGATTAACATGTTTCCGCACGATCGAAATAGATATAAGAGATCAGGTTGGCGAAAGAATACCATTTGAATTTGGGACGTTGACAGTTACATTACAATTTAGACGTCGAGATTAGAGATAATTAGAACACATAGATATGACGCATTATTTAGAATATTACGAAGCACTATCCGGGGAAAATCGTGGAGGCGGAATTTCACGGGTTTTCGTAGGATCGCGGTATCAGAGCGGTCACGGTATCGGTAGCTTTCTCGGTGGTCTGTTCAGACGGGTGTTACCTTATTTGGCCAGTGGTGCGCGTGTCGTTGGAAAAGAAGCTCTACGCGCAGGGATTAATATACTCGATGATGTGGGGAATAACACACCATTGGAAATAGTTGTTAAAACGCGCCTCAAGGAATCAGGCTCAAATCTCAAAAGAAGAACGGGAGAACACATCAACAACCTGATGAAGGGGTCGGGATATAAAGTTCCTGCGAAAGTCGGAAAAGCTCAGTTTCTTTTCAACACGCCAAGCGGATACAGCGGTAAATCATCTTCGCGCAAACATCGGGTCAGCGCTTCTAAATCAAGTAAGAGGAAAGTGACTCGAAGAAACGCACCGAGGAAGAAATCGGGTAAGAAGCTAGCGAAGAAACCTACGAAGAAGAAGCGTTCAGTGAAAAAAAGCGGGAGAGGACTCACTAAACGTCGGGGAGTTATTAAGAAGCGTACTGTATCAGACATTTTTTCCTAAACAACAAACGTGTGCTTTCGAAGCATGTCCTTTCTTCATACGCATTCCTGCGAATGTTTAAAGAGTGAACTCGATCTCTTCACCCTGCCGCCTACACAAACCAGTATTGAGAGTTCATAATGGATTCACTACAAACCCGTGTCTTCTCTCACGGACGACGCGCCCGTCGAATTCGTCGTACCCGGGCATAGAGAAGAATACATAAATTCAACGAACACTGGATCTCATAGGTCATCTTCACTGCGACGTCTTCAATCAAAATAAATTCTTGATCAACGGTTTCGAAGTGCACAAGAGGCTTGTTCGTTCGAAAGATTCCTTCTGTCTTATGGAGGGAAATACTATGTCACAGATACGCATTTTAGATGCTACACTACTCATCAGCTACTCAAGAGCTAGAATAAACCCAGGCATATTGCTCATACGAAAATGTTGACCAGGACTACTGCTAAATACTCCCTCACGAGAGTCGAGGTTAAATCATTCACGATTCATAGCGGCGTCGTAGGAGAGACACTGGACCATGTCATTCTTGAACAAATACCAAAGCGTATAATTGTCGGCTTCGTCGATAACAAAACGTTTAACGGTGCCCAGCATTTAATCCATTCAATTTCAAGGATTATAGAATAAATATCTTTTCGTTGTATGTCGATGGTACTCAAATCCCTAGCAGACCATTACAACCCAAATTCTCTGGTAACGAGATGCTCTACGCCGAGGCGTATCATACCCTTTTCTCAGGAACGGGCATTCATTTTTTGAACGAAACTAATTCTATATCCAGAGAAGATTATCCTGCTGGTTATACTCTTTTCGCTTTTGATCTCACTCCTGATCTGTCAGCTAATTGCGCGGGCCAATGGAACCTTGTGAAACACGGTAGTTTGCGAATGGAAGTATGATTCGAAAGAGCCCTCACACAATGGTCAATTGCTTAGTTTACGCTGAATTTGAAAGTGAGCTGGAAATAGATTCTTCTCGTCAAGTCATTGTAGATTATAGCAGTTAAAGAAACACATCTCCCACTTTTCTTTTCGGCGTCTTTCCCCTTCCCGTGTAAAGATTTTCAACATCATTCTCCTCCAGAGTAAAAATTTTGAGAAAAGAACTCAGTTGACTTCGAGGCGTAAAGAGTATAGTTTCGACAAGCAGAATTGCGAATACAGCGAGAACATGGATGTGATCATCGAAGCGCAGTGTTTCCGCGATAGCAACGATACTTATGTGCTCAAGGAGGTGGCTATTATCGGTATTAATGAGGCATTTGTCGGACATTGGATCTTAGCTCCATAGTATTCATTTGCGGAATTGAACGAAAAATCAAGACGGGTAAATAACTGGCTTTCACTGAATTATCATGAAATCGAGTGATACGATGTGCAGATTAATCCAAAATATTTTTATCCGCGCTTGCGTGAAATTACGAGTCATATTCGTGACTTCATTACAAATGGCAAGGAAAAAGCGAGCTACTTGCAAAATTTATTAGCGCGAAACGTGTATAATCTGGAGAATATCTCGCCGACGTCCAGTGATCTTTCACCCAGCGAACAAATAGAAGGCTGCTCATTCCACACATTTAGAAGACACAGACGTTATCATTGTGCATTACGCG